AATAAATACCTACTGATTGAAAATTAAGGTAGATTTAATTTTTCACGGTGGCCGTGATTTTCTCAATTTGATCGTTATTTTTGTGCATGTCTTCTGAACACAAAGAATGTAGCTGATACCATGTCAAAATGAATAATATGATTGAAGGGAAGGATAAAAATTAGCTTACGATCAAAAGCCGGCACACCATAGTATACCACTACTGGCAGGAAAGTTAAGAACGATCCAAAGTTGACAAGAAACAATGTACTCGTCAGTTTTCTTTCCCTCTGGCCGGCTACACCATGGTGCCGAGGAAGACGACTATGGCGAACTTCTATAGAAATAGAAACATAGCATAATAATATAACAAAAAGATGAATACAACAATAGAAATTTCAAAGTCAATGAAAGAGCCGATCAACAGTCCAGACGATGTAGTGGTCAAGACTACAGGAACTAGGCAAGTGACTGATATCATTACTCCCTATACCCATTTCTTTACAAAACGATGCTTGAATGGACGAAATGTTGCGTGTGCTCGTTCTAATGAAATCAAAGGGAGATTAAGAAGCGAGATTTGATGAAAAATAACCCCAATGCAATTTTTAAAGCGAACTGAGCTTAAAGGTTGTTGTTGTGAGCACATGGAATTAATATATCTGAAGTGTGTTTCAGTTAAACCGGGACTTAAAGAATTTCCAACGCCTAGGATTCTCCACTAATACTGTTACATGTACGAATTTCGTGCAACATAAACCAGTCTTTCGTAACAAAAGGCGAGATTTTTTTTTCTTTTAGAGAAGGCGAGAGGGTTTTCAGCAAAGTCATGATTTTGTAAAATAAATTAGCAAGTGGAGAACTTCCAAACCCGTTCTCCATCTGATCGTCTCCGCTTGCTATCGATGGACCGTCGAGCTTTATATATCAAATCCCTTTCTTCGTTTTCACTCCAATATTCTACATTTTAGTGGTTACTACCAGAAGATGAATAGAAAAATACCAAACAAAGAAAAAGATAGAAAGAGCAGCTAAACATGAAATGTTAAATGCTGTCTTAATTTCTATCTCAAAGTATTTTTCTGATGATTGAATGGGAATGACTGAAAGCACCTGCAGGTGACACCAAAGGATGTTTACTTCTGATCTAAAAAGACCACAATCGCTTACGATGGAATTGCATAGGCGTAGAAAGCTGATAAATGATCGATGATTCCACAATATTGGTTAAATGACGTATCTTAATCAGTTTAGAACTTCCTGTGTTTCTTAGTCCTTCAATGTAGTTTTCGTAAAATATTGATGATTTAATTTTGGATTTTTCTTAAAACACGTAAAATCAATCGTAACCCTTAATTTGAAATGTCACTCTCTTCGAGTTTTATGTCTCCTAGAATCTGTTAAATTAATTAGCCCATTGGCTGACATCCAAGTAGTCTGAATCAAGGTCCGCAGCTTATTAGACTTACTGCAATTCGCTCAAAAACTTTCTTCGCCCGATTGCATCTGAGATGTTAAGCTTTTCTTTACAGTTTTTCTTTTCAGCTTTTTATCACTCACATACTCGGTGACTTTACCTTCAAGATAATTTAATATCTTGTAATCGCTCGGTTTTTTGACTCACGATAAGCTACCTATTTTGTTTATTGCCTTTGTTATTAAGGGAACGATAAACAGATCTGCAAGATAGCTCAACATGGTTTGGTAAACTGAAAGGATTTGAGACTTTGGCATTAAATTGAGCGGATTAATGGATAGGCAAGCTATGATTTTTTAGTGAATTGATGATTGTAACTTTGGATTGTGGATCGCCTTAGTCGTGTTGATACGTTCTATAGAAATTTTTTTTTTATTCACTGTAATTCTCGCAACAAAAATGTTTACGCGTGGTGTTAAGATACTTCTTCTGACATTGGCATTTGATTAACTGTAATGTCGACAGGAAAAGCCAGACAAAATAACGCAGGAACCCTACACAATATATAAAAACCGCATGATGAATTCGGATTCAAAGAAAGTAGTATCTAATCATTGAATTTATATACCTATCTATCCTAAACACAAGTGATTTAATCTGCAGTGGCATTTTTGGTGGCATATACATTTTTGAGATACTGTGTACCTTGTGTTGTAACAATTTGGAGGTTTGTTTTTTTTTTTTAAATCAGCTGTAATGTTAGAATTTAAATCTTCAAGCAAGATTCCTGCACTTAATCGACATTCAAGCGGGTGGAAATACGATATCATTGGACAAACATAGAAAGTCGTTGATGATAGAGAAAGCTTCTTTCATTTTAACCAGGCAGAAGAGTGTTATCTCGACGCGGGGACACATCAGACTAAAAGAGGAGATGAATTGTGTCTGAATTAAAGAACCGATAAGGTTACTCTACTTCATTTGATATCAAAGTTTTCATGATAAAGGTGGAAAATATCCTGGGGTCTTCAACAAGTTTAAACCAGTCTCTGTGGTGTGAAGTAATTCAGTAATTCCTTTCAATGAATTTTGACGAATGTTTACAAAATCCATTCAACGCAAAAAAAAAAACAAAAAAAAAATCAATGAGTTTTATATTTCCCACAGACTGCGATACAATTCAGGCCATTGCCTGACATTCCAAATGGGAATGAGTCTGAATCAATTTCTGTTGTTTATTAGACTGACCGCAATTCCCTCAAAAACTTCCTGCGCCCAGCTGCATCTGAGATGTTGAACTTTACTTTGCAGAACCGTTTTTCTAACACTCGCATGTTCCGATAACCTTACCTTAAGGATAAGTCAATATCTTGTAATTGCTTGGTCTGTTGAATCACGGTAGGTTACCCCTTTCGTTTATTGCTATTGTTACATAGGGAAGGACGAATAGATCTGCAAGATAGACGAATATTGCCTTGCGGACATTGGCATTAAATTGGGCCAGTGGTTTTAAAGCGCACCGCATTCTTAAGGAATTTTTGGCTTGTGCATCCTATTAACGAAAAAATACCAAAGATGAAGCTAAGCTAAAGAAACACAGGATAAGTTCCGCTTCAACCTATAGATATATAAATGTGTGAGTGTGTGTGTGTGTGTGTGTGTGTATGTGTGTCTGTGTGTGTGTATGTGTGTGTGTGTGTGTGTGTGTGTGTGTATGTGTGTGTGACTGAATAAAACTGATCTTTACAGGTGTTTTAAACGTAGTTTCTGATATAATAAGTTTGGAATCGTTGCTTTTAATTTTATTCAAGAAAAAAATTTCTCTTGATAAATTTCATAACAAAACTTTAACTTTGTTGGTTGTTTCATCGTTTAAAGCTGGGAAATTACTCTAAGAAACTTTATATTTACTGATAAGATTATTTTCAAACTGAAATACCGTCAGTAACACAAAGAGTTGTCAAGATAAACAGGAATTTCATGCACTTCGTAAGTCATGTTATTGTATTAGTTTAGTTCTCCTTAATAAATGTGAGTATGCCATCATTTGAAGCCGTGCAGGGAAATTACACACAAAACTAGAACTCACCAATTGCGAATGACGAAGAAAAGTTGTGCCGCCGAGAAAATTCTGTTTTCCACAACAAATTTAAATAAATTCAATTTACTTCTTTATTTAACATAAATCTCAATTCAACGCTACAGTTTTTACAGCATTTCACCATATAAAAAAAAAAAAAATAAAAAAAAAAATTACAGCAAGCCAAACAGCGATGATAACACAGAGATAACACAGCCATAACACAGAGATCAAATAAACTCAAGTCTAGAGAGCATTGATAGATTGTTTTGCGAAAAAGTAGTGCTAGGCATTGTGCTCTGTTTAATTTCGTCTTAGCTGATAAATTATCATGCCTTTCATAATGTATGAACAAACTCGTCAAGGATGACATTTAAAGTCCCACTCGTCAAAGATGACGTTTAAAGTCCCATTTTGTCATGCTATGTTAATGAAACGTTTATTTATTCATGCACCTTTATTTAATCTGTTAATTTCTTCTTATTTAGGATAGCAGTATGGGAAAACAAACCCTTTTCTTTGAGCTCGTTCTTATCATGTTCCTACTACAGAAGATCGATGCGACAGATAGAGTTTTAACCTGTGGTAAGTTTTCTAAGATTAACGAATTCTGCCCAGAGATTATAAACAGCTGTTTATAATATCTTGATTAGGCCGATAGAGGGAGATGAACTAAGTTTTCAAGCATAAAATGTAACCACCATTTTACGGTGAGAACCACCACTCAATTGAATCTTCCTCTTGGTAAAGCTCTAAAAATTAACATTCCTATCGTCTTTAGGACTGTAGATAACGATGAACATTTCTCAGCTTCCTTAGTTTGTTAAGGCCTAATTAACCAGAAGGCCATGGATATTTTCTACAAGATGGTGCGTATTTCGAATGTTTGTCCTTAATGTTTCTTGTCGGAAAAAACATCGATGTAGTCTCTGGAAAAAGTTAGTCTCAACGTCGTATGTAGGTGCTGGTGGATCAGAAAAAGTTGTGGTTTTCCTCAAAATATATATTCCTCCCAATAGCTTTTTGTAACGATAGGATCCGTTAGTCAGTCTGTATGCCACGTTTCAACTGTGATTGTCAATTAAACTTTTCTAGCCACTAATATAACGTATATAAAGTAACCGCACAGATGCTCGTTTAATTTTCCCCTCTTACCTATTCCACACAGGATTTATCAATCGTCCTACAGCTGAGTTTGACGCGGTAAACTCAGTCTTTAATCATGTCTCTAGCTCGGGAAATATTTCAGTGGTATTAAAAGAATTCGAAATTTCTGAAGCTGTGAACTTATTTAGTCAAGGTAAGAAGACTATGTCTCTTGAAATGTCAATTCAGTCGACAGTTACTCTGTTGTTCAAGAATTATTTTGCCAAACATTAATTTCTAGCTTCAACCATCATTGCGCTTATCGAGGGAGGTGCAGCGACGACTTCTGCTTGTGCACTCTCGACAATGACAGGCATTCCTCTCATCCGTCTCCATGGTAACAACAGACCTGCAGATCGATGTGACAAGGCAATCGTGATGTCAGCAGGGTATAAAGACTATGCCCATGCCACAATTGACATACTGAACACCTTCGGGTGGAAAAATATTGTGGTGGTTTATGAAGGTAATTCAGAGGGTTCTAATGGGATTAAGTAATAGCCGTGAAACGGCCAAAGCAACTAGCTGTTTGGCGTAAAAAAATGACAAATTTTAACCGCAGGTAAAAAAGAAAAAAAGCTAACCTTAACAAGAACACTGGTGAAAATGATGGAAAGATAATAATCGTTAGCTGTAAAATAGCCATACTTTTAATCATTAGCTGTAAAAGCCATCACTCATTGAGACCCTCAATTAATGGTCAGTTTAATGGCTCTTATATGTTTTTGCACGGGGGTTCAATTACTCCTTTCCTTTGCTTTGTAAATTACAGAAAAGTGTTCAAGTTATCGGAAAATTCAAATGTCATCAAGCTTCTCGGCCCCTAATTTAAACGAAAATTCTATGAAATTAATTTGGATAACGACTGATTCGTTTCACTTTTAATCTTGTGAAGCTTTGTGAGC